TTACCCCAGGGATGCAGGAGTAGTTCAACACATGCAAATCAATAAACATATCATATCAACAAAATGAATAAAAACCGTATGAGCATCTCAACAGATGCAGAGAAAACGTTTGATAAAATGCAGCACTCTTTCATCACAAAAACCTGAAAAAATTGGGTATAGAAGGAACATACCTCAATACAATCAAGGCAACATATAACAAACCCACGCCAGCATCTTATTGAATGGGGAAAAGCAGGAAGCATTTCCACTAAGATCTGGAACAAGAAAAAGATGTCCACTCTCACCATTATTATTCAATATAGTTCTGGAAGTTTTAGCCAGAGCAATAGGGCAAGAAAAGAAACCAAAGGGATACAAATTGGAAAGGAGGAAATCATATCACCTTGTTTGCAGATGACATGATCCTTTATATAGGGGAACCAAAAGACTCAACTAAGATACTATCGGAGGGCCAGCATTGTGGTGTAGCAGGTAAAGCTGCTGCATACAATGCTGGCAACCCATATTAGTGCCTGTTTGAGTCATAGCTGTTCCACTTCTAATCCAGCTCCCTGATAATGTGCCTGGGAAAGCAGCAGAACATAGCCCAAGTACATGAGCCCCTGCATCCCCATGAGAGACCTAGATGAAGCTCCTGGCTTCAGCCTGGCCCAGCACCAGCCACTGCAGTCATCTAGGGAGTGAACCAGCAGATAGGAGATTCTTTCTCTCTCTTTCTCTCCCCCCACTTCTCTTTCTCTTCTCCTCTCTCTGTAACTCTGACTTTCAAATAAATAAATAAATAAATCTTTTTGTAAAAAGGATAGAGAGATAATTGGAACTCAAAAGAGAATTTCAGCAAAGTTGTGAGATATAAAATCACTCCCTGGAGAAATGACAGTCCCTTCAATAAATGGTATTGGGAAAACTGGATTTCCAAATGCAGAAGTTTGAAAGAAGACTTCTATCTTATACCCTATACAAAAATTACCTCAAAATGGATCAAGGATTGAAACCTAAGATCTGAAACCAACAAATTACTAGTAGAAAACACAAGGGAAACAATGTAACACACTGGCCTAGGCAAAGACTCTCAGGTAAGAGCCCAAAAGCACACATAATAAGAGCAAAAATAGATAAGGGCTTACATTAAGCTAAGAAGTTTCTGCACAGCAAATGAAACAATCAACGAAGAGACAATCTATAGAATGGGAGAAGATATTTGCAAACTATGCATAAAGGAGTAACATCCAAAATATATAAAGACCTCAAAAAATTCAACAAGACAAACAGTCCAGTTAAGAAATGGGCAAAGTACATGAACAGGCATTTTTCAAAGGATGAAATACAAAGGGCCAACAGACAAATGAATAATACTCAGGATCACTAGCCATCAGGGAAATGCAAATCAAAACTACAATAAAGTTTCTTTTTAAAAAAAAGATGGGTGTTTGCAGAATGCACCTTACATATTAATGCATTTTTAAAGATTTATTTTATTTATTTGAGAGGCAGAGTTACAGAAAGAGGTAGAAACAGAGAGAGGGGTCTTCTATCTGCTGGTTCACTTCCCAAATGGCTGCAACAGCTGGAGCTGAGCTGATCTGAAGCCAAGTGCTTCCTTCGGGTCTCCCACATAGGTGCAAGGGCCTGAGGACTTGGGCCATCCTCTACTGCTTTCCCAGGCCATAGCAGAGAGCTGGATTGGAAGTAGAGCAACTGGGATTCAAACCAGTGCCCATATGGGATGCTAGTGCTCAGGGCTTTAACCTACTGCACCATAGTGCTGGCTTGTACAATGAGGTTTTAGCTCACCTTGGTTAGAATGGCTATCATCCAAAAATCCAAAAATAATTAATGTTGGTGAGGATGTAGAGAATTAAGCACCCTAATACACTGGTGGTAGGAATGTAAACTAGTATAACCACTATGGAAGACAGAATGAAGATTCCTCAGGAAACTAAAAATTGATGAACAATATGACCCAGTTATCCCACTCATGGGAATTTACCCAAGGGAAATAAAATTAGCATGTGAAAGAGTAACCTGTATTCCTATGTTCATAGCAGCTTAATTCACAGTAGCTTAGATCTGGAATCAACCTAAGTGTCCATCAAGTGATGAATGAATTAAAAAAAAAAAGTGCTATGTGTGTGTGTGTGTGTCTGTGTATGATGGGATACTACTTAGCCATAAAAAAAATGAAATCCTGGGGCTGGCACCGTGGTGTAGTCGGTGAAGCCACTGCCTGAAGCACCAGCATCCCATATGGAAGCTGGTTCAAATCTCGGCTGCTCCTTTCCTGATGCAGCTCTCTGCTATGACCTGGGAAGGCAGTGGAAGATGGCCCAAACCCTTGGGCCCATGCATCTGTGTGGGAGACCTGGAGGGGGCTCCTAGCTCCTGGCTTCGGACTGGCGCAGCTCCAGCTGTTTTGGACAGTCGGGGAGTGGACCAGCAGATAGAAGACTTTCTCTGTCTCTGCCTCTCTTTCCCTCTCTGTGTAACTCTGACATTCAAATAAATAAATAAATCTTAAAAAAAAAATGAAATTGTGACCTTTCAACAAAATGGAGGAACTGGAGATTGTAGTGAAATAAGCCAGATGCAAAAAGATAAACATCACGCTTTTTCTTATTTCTGGTAGCTAATACATGGACAGAGTATGAAAAAAAGAAACTTTTCAAACTCTTCCTCTCCTGCAGTTCCAACAAGAATGTTTTTTGCTTTGCACCTGAAAGTATGCATATTCAAAGGCATTGTTTTCTGTGGTTAGTCCTCCATTCTAGTGCCCAGGACCTCTCCAAGCCCAATATGATTCAGAATGCGTGCATCTGGAATTTTCAGAGTTGTGGGAAACATAAGCAGATTTGCACTGACATTAAATAAGGTTTTCCATAAGGAACTATCAAAGGCAGAGAGGGATTTCTATACTGTATATAACCCCCAAAAGTCCCAACACTTGCATTATGTATGTGTATCTTTCTTCTCAAATCTGTTAGAATGATACTATGCTTGGTTTGAGAACACAGATTACTCTTCAAAAAGTCCACAAAAGTTTCTGTGTCAAATCAGATTTTAGAAGTTTCAAGAGAGCTTGGAATGGGACGGTGTGTTAGCAAAGATACAATGGTTTGTTTTTAGGCCAGTAGCTTAAAGAAGGTCAATCAAGGGTATCTGTGCAGCAATAGAATAAAAAGGAAACATTTTTGGATGCAGTCTTTGCCAGCAACATCTTGGAACCTCAGCTGCCACGTTTCTCTTTAGGGTGGTCTGAAATGTGATCCCAGGCCACCAAGGTATCTTTAGCTCGCCAGCTTCCTCTGCCTCCTCCTTTGGCTCCAAACCTGAGGAAGTGAGTCTACCTCTGCTTCTGTGTAAACAAGAACCATCCTCCAAGTATCTGTTGTTCTTTTCAGTATGGCCACCCCTGGTACATTCTACAGTCAGGGCAGAAATGTCAGAGTGGGGCTAGGGGCAAGGGAATGTCCTCTACCCTCTGGTTCTGAACTTCATGGTCACATTCCAACACAGTCTGTCTAAGCAGAATTCTTTGAGTTCTCATCTGCTCCATTTTCCTGAGGAACATGGCACAAGTCCAGGAGAGACAGGATAAACAAACAATTTCAGGGGCCCTGAACCCCACTGCATTTGAAATGAAACTGAACTATAGGTTCACAGTTCTTTATACAAACTCCTTGGGACCAAATAAGTTTAGAATTCAGAATTCTATCAAATTTTTAAAAGCTAAACTGGCACATTTACTATATGTTATGTAACATCCCCAGAAGGAACTGGGGCAGCACACTGTAATCAAATGGTAATATATCTGTGGCAAAACACATGAATATTCACACCAAGATAAATAATGACTATAAATAGCCTTCTACCAGTCAGGTCGTATGTTGCTACCAGATCAGTTCACTTGAGGTCAGGTTCTGCGGCTAAATGTCTCAACTACAAAAGAACTTTCATTTTCCAGAACGGTTAGGATTTTGGAATTGTGGATAAGGGATTGTTGATCCGTGTTGCAGCTGATGAAGGACGAAGATTAAGAAACCCAGTTTGCTTCATTGCCTGACATCTTTGTGGAAGATTAGTCTGCACAGAAACGTGTGTGTGAACCCTTCCCCACTTCCCGTTTCTCAGTGATTTTGGTCAATTCTTTTTTCCTCTCAATGACTTGGAAATACCTTGTTTGATATATAAGATGGTGAAGCAAATTTCCCTGGTTGATTGGCAATGCTTGGTCTAGATTCCTTCCCTCAAAATTCAGCAGGCCTGGCCAGGGCCATGCAGCCCCCTCTGGCAGGCAGACTGAGCATCTTCCCCAGATTTGGGACCAATGTGATCTTTGGCCAGCGTCCAGGCCAAATGCCCAGGATCCTGGCACTGAGCCACCCTATTGGTGTTACTGTTGGTTCTGCTCCTGTCTTAGTCTTGTTCAGTCCTGCATGGTGACAAAGCTTCCACCAGGTACAGCACAGCTGGATTTTCATCTCATTCTCCATAGCTGGAGCCTTCATTAAGTTGCCTCACCATGGCGCCCCAAGCCTGAGATCCTACTTAGCTCAGTCATCACGGGAACCGGAGCCTTGTTCCCAAACCACAGATTTTAGGGCTAAGTCCAATGTTTAAACTGTAAAACCTCTGTTGTGAGGCTGCTAGCTTCTGTCTTCTCTCTGGTCCTAGTGTGGGAATCTGAATTTTAGATGTTGACTCTCATCCTCATTAAACAAGACAAGTTGGCAATGTTTGCCCCAGGACAGAGTAGGTTCTCAGATAAATGTGAACCACATGATCAGAAAAACTGATATTACAGCCAAGAGTCACATGAAAGTCCTTACTTTTCAGGTCCTGTGCAGAAACCATCTACCATTTCCTGGAACAAATATCATACCACGACATGCTATTAGGCATACCCACTTCTAGGCCAAGAAAATCCCACCACTTAGGATTCTCTAATCACTGTTCAAGGCCTTGCTAGAGAAGCAGTTTTCAGTGGGAGAAATACTCACTGTGAAATAAAGTGGTTGAATTCCTCGCACCACATTTCTGGATGAAGTAAAGTGGGTGGTGGATTTCTGAAAAACAAAAGCAACTTTTTTCTTAAAAAAAAAAAGAGTTCAATCAAAGGCAAAATACCAACTTGTCTTTTCTGATATCGTTCTAAATGGCTCTAATACAATCCATTCTTGTCTTCCTGGAGGGAGTCGTTGATTGGTAGTAAATTATTGAGGCCCAGCAGCTGCTTGTTCCTGCAGTTATTCATTTTCTTGGTTGGAGGCCTACTATGTTCCTAGCTTTCTCAGAACCTTGTGAGAGTTACAAGGATCTGGAACATTCTTCAGGGAGTAGACACTGTAATGAGGGGGAAGGCAAGCACACAAACCACTATGACTGAAAGCTGAGGACTGTTAGCACTGGAAGAAAGCTATAAACACAGTGCCAGGGGCTCTAGAGAAATAGGCGTTTAATTGTACAGGATTTTCAGATCATTATGGTACCATTTGAATTAATTATGCGATACAATGAAAGTACACTCATAAACGCATCGGTCACATTTTTAGCTATTTCCTCTGTGCCAAACTTCTGCAATGGGCACTGGAAACAGCAAACAGTCAAAGCTGCCTCAGACTCCAAAAGGGTCTTTTTTTAAAAAAAATATTTATTTATTTGACAGGTAGAGTTACAGACAGTGAGAGGGAGAGACAGAGAGAAAGGTATTCCTTCCGTTAGTTCACCCCCTAAATGGCCGCTACGACCGTAACTATGCTGATCCGAAGCCAGGAGCCAGGAGCCAGGCGCCTCCTCCTGGTCTCCCATGCGGGTGTAGGCACCCAAGCACTTGGGCCATCCTCCACTGCCTTCCCAGGCCATAGCAGAGAGCTGGACTGGAAGAGAAGCAACCAGGACTAGAACCCGGCACCCATATAGGATTCCGGCACTGAAGGTGGAGGATTAGCCAAGTGAGCCAAGGCGCCGGCCCATCCAAAAGGGTCTTGTGAAGACACAGAAAGCGACAAAGGACACAGCTAACTCCCGGAAGTGCCAGGAACAGCAGAAAGACCCTTCTCCTCCCAGTGGAAAGATAGGAAAAGGGGGAAGGGAAGAGCACTGCATATGACTGAACATTTACCCCAAAGTGATTCCATTTTAAAGAAGTGAAGTCACTTTTACTTGATAGGAACTTTTTTCTAGCCATGAATGGAAACAGCGAATGAAGGAATTAACAGTTTCACACGCCTGAATTAAAACTCATAAATGTGATCTTTCTTCTCACCTTGATTCGAACTGCTTCCTAAAGACATAGATTGATCAACTTCAATAGGTAAAGGAACTGAAAGCAACAGGAATTATCAGAAATTAAAAAAGGTATCAGACGACATGATGCAAAGCTGCCTCTCAAAATGCCATTCTTCTTGCATTGATCATTATTGCTTTTGTTTCGGCATATGGCTGCCATATGGCTGCAGTTCCCTGGGTTTCTTGCAGCTATGTGTGGTCATGTGACTGGATTCTGGTCAGTGATAGGTAAGTGAAATTGTACAGTATTTCTAGGAAGTCTCTTTAAAAGACAGGGGATATGCCATCCTTCTTATTCCTCCCTCTTGCTTCCTGGAGCATGGATGTTATGGCCTGAGCTTTGAACAGCCATCGTAAATCTCCATATTTACATGTTTTAAGTCACAAATAAGCAGTAATTTGTTATGACAGTGATAGAAAACTAACACATGAGCGTGGATGTTGTGGCACAACAGGGTATGCAGCCACTTGGAACCTCCAAATCCAATGTCAGAGGGCCTGGGATTGAGTCAAACCTCTACCACTGATCCAGCAGTTCTGCTAATGTGCCTGAGAGGCAGCAGATGTTGGCTGAAGTACTTGGGTCGCTACCACTCATGTGGTGGGAGACTCAGATGGAGTTCCTGGCTCCTGGCTTCAGCCTGGCCCAACCATGGCTGTTGCAGGAATTTTGGAAGTGAACCAGCAGATGGAATATATCTGTGTGTGTGTGTGTCTCTCTCTCCCTCTCTCCCCTCCTGCCACACACTTATATATCACTTTGCCTTTCAAATAAATAAAAGTGAATAAACATTTTTAAGAGAAAATTAATACCAATCAGAACCAAGTCCTCTCAGTTCTACTGCCTCCCTCCTCTGTAGTCACCTGATCCCCTCTTTCACATCCTACTTCAGTCACTCACTATCTCATATACAGACTATTTAATAAATTCCTTATCTTTCTCCTGCCCTCTTCCTCAATTCTCTCTAATCCACCCTGTACCCAAGTAGCTAGAATTTCTTTATAACCCACAAATCTGACTTTGTTATTTCCTTGCTCAAAATTCAGCAGTATGCAGTATGCCAGGATGCCCAAGCCCTTCTCAGGACATACAAATGATCCGGCCTCTCTATTTACCCAATTTGATCCCAAACAACTTTCTCATGTCACTTGATGCTACAGCACTATATTGCATTGCTCACAGAGTTTCCAAAACAGGGGGCCTGTCCTTTCATGTTTCAGGGTCTTTGCATACTATATACTTTCAATTTAGAGGAATTTCGCCAATTTTACCACCCTGTAGGCTCCTATCCATGCTTCATATTATCCATGGTGCTAAGCAAGAAATACTCAGTAAAATATTGCTGAATAAGTGACTGCAGTCAACAAATGATGCCAAGACAAAATATGAGTTGATCCATGCTATGGATTGAATATGGTTTTAGGTAACCCTTGAGAGTGCACATGTTGAAACTGAATACTTATTGTGTTTTTTTTTATTATTATTATTATTTTTTGACAGGCAGAGTGGACAGTGAGAGACAGAGAGAAAGGTCTTCCTTTGCCGTTGGTTCACCCTCCAATGGCCGCCGCGGCCGGCGCGCTGCGGCCGGCGCACCGCGCTGATCCGATGGCAGGAGCCAGGTGCTTCTCCTGGTCTCCCATGCGGGTACAGGGCCCAAGCACTTGAGCCATCCTCCACTGCACTCCCTGGCCACAGCAGAGAGCTGGCTGGAAGAGGGGCAACCGGGACAGAATCCGGCGCCCCGACCGGGACTAGAACCCAGTGTGCCAGCACCGCAAGGCGGAGGATTAGCCTAGTGAGCCGCGGCGCCAGCCAATTGTGAGGTTTTTAAGAGCATGAGAACTTAATGTAACCATGGTGTTTAGAGATGGACCTTTGGAGGTGAGAAGAATTAGATAAGGTTGTCAGGGTAAAGACCTCACAATTGAATCCTGGTAGCTTTGTAAAGGGAGAAAGAGAGACACACACACACATGTTCATGCACACAAGAAGGGACAAACACATGTGCTCCCTGCCTCTTGTCATGTGAGACCCCACATTACCTAGGGGCCCTGCCAACAAAAAGGTAACCACCAGATGCAGGCCCTTGACCTTGCAGAACACAGACCAAAATACACCTCTTTTCTTTACAAGTTACCTAGCCTTAGGCAATTCATTATAGCAACAGAAAAGGCACTCATTCTCAAAGTAGCATAAAATTAGACAAATATAGAATAGCTCTTTTGGTTGTGAGCAAATGCCAACTAAATTACTCACAGCAGGCAGGGCTTGAGGAACAAGAAAATTTACTTGATTTGAGTTTGACAATATAAGCCTTACCTCTCTCCTTTTGAAGCCCAGATGTCCCAAATCACTGAACATATCTAACCCAAATGAGCAAAGAAGCAGACATTATAGACATCATCGGGTGCCAGGACCACTATACAATCATGCCTGGTGGGCTGGAGCTAGAAGGGGGTGAACACCAATAACTATCACATGTTGAGTGCTAACTACAGCAATGCTGTGTGCCAAGTGCTTCACATACAGATCAACTGAACACCACAATTCTGTAAATAGGAATTATTATTCTAGCTTCATGGGGTGTATGGGGAGGAACAGGAGCACAGCTTAAAAAGAATAAATTTTCCCAAAAACATTCAGCAAAGACTGGAAGAGTCAGGTATTTTGGTCTCCACTGTCCATAATCTCACTGCTTTTTGAATTTTATCTTAAGCAAGAAGTTTACTGCTTTGAAAGATGAATTAAGAGAACACAGCTGCAAAAAATGACAGAAAACCAATTAGCAAGCAATGCTTCAAGAAGGTGCAAAATGAAGTCCTCAAAGATTAACACGCATTCACCAATGAGACACTGAATAAAAGATTTCTCAATGAGGCTGAGTTAATTAAGAAAAGCCTCCTGGAAGTTGTGAATTTTTAGGCAGACCCTTCACTGAGAGGGCATAAAGGGAGGAGGGTGTTAGGGAAGGAGACAGGGAATTCAGAGAGGAAGACATAAAGACCAAAGTATAATAATTAATCATCGTTACAAAGTTAAACACTTAGGAATGTGTTCAAAAGGAATTCTAGTTATTTACTCATAAAGGCAATAAAGCAAGACATTTGAGTGTAATTAACTGTTCTAAGAGTATTAACTACAGCACCAGAGTTGCCACTCTGATTACAATTAGTAGAGCCCATTAATGAAGTTGAATAGTTAGGCAAGTGCCTGTGTCTCCTCCCTCAGTATCATGCCCCAGGCCCAGCCGAAGTTAATTTTCTTAGTCGCCTCTTTCCTGTTCAAAATTCATTATTTAAAGAATGTTTGAACTTATTTGTAATACATGATTCCATCTCAGTGTAAAAAGTCCTCAATACAGGAACTGCTACAATTTAAACAAGATTTGGCTCCCAAATCTCACAGGCTTTTAACCTTCAAAACCCATGAGTTCATGGTACCCAACTATGGCATCTGGGAGGTGGGCCCAGTGTGAAGCCCTGTAGTCACTGGGGGCTTGTCCTCAGTAGGTAGTTCCTGCTGGAGGGTTGGCCATAAAGCGTGAGTGAGACGCAGCCTCCCTGCTTCCTGAATCACCACGTGACCCTTCCTCTGTCTGCACGGCACGCTTCACCACTGCAGCACTCGTCAGAGGCCGGACAGGTGGAGCTGCTCGATCTTGGACTTGAACCTACAAAAACTTTGAGCTACATAACTCTCTTCTGTTTATAAAGTCAGTTGTCTCAGGCATTTTGTTATGGTGTTGAAAAGCTAAAAGAGGAAGGTAGAGTACAA